CCTGGTGCATCAGCCTTTGGCTCACCAGACTTGTGCTGCATTAAATTATGCACATCTTGAAGGTGCCACCAGACTCTAGTTGCTTTGGCGGTAGCCCTCTCCTCCATTTACCCTTCTGGAGTGCCTCCAGTGCACTGATCACTTCCTTGAGAGGGAACCCAGGGAGCAAGTTCCAAACGAGTCATGAAATGTTACCTTGCTGGTTTCCACTTGAGGAATGGCAATGTAATTAAATGTCTTAGACTCAGTTTTACCTTAATCAATTTCTATTACCAAAACATACACACACACAAAATCCTTTTTGCACATTCATTTGCCAAGCATCATACTGTACAACTTATCACTGAAAATATTGTTCACCTGATCACCCACAATGGCCACAAATGACAATCTCAGACCAATTACATGCACAATATCACTGCTGTCTATACACATCACACTAATTCTGTAGACAAAATATACAGGTAGCTAACAACACTTGAACGAGAGGTCTGCTGGAAGGGCAGCTCGCTTTGGTGAGCCCCTTTTGCTTCCTCAAATATTAGAGAAAATACTCTCTCTCTCTCCACATTCCCTTTTTTGCTCCCCTAATGCAAGAACATGGCATAACCACTTGCAAGTACTAAATCTTTTCATCTGGAACCTTTTATCTGAAATAAAAGGGGGTCCTAATCTGATGATTTCTCCACAGTAGGAAAGAAGCCTTTTTCTCTTAGCACTCACACAAGCACAGAAGTAAGAGAAAGACTAAACTATAATCTAAATGGATTTCCTAGGGTGGCACTCCTGTGTGATTCGGGGGGGGGAAACCCAACAGCTGAAAGCACACACTACAACAACACCCCCAAAACAAGAAGCATATTTCCACACCAGGATGGCAGACAGCCAGTTGATTACATGTCTCAGCAGAAAGCAACTCATAGAACTTCGCACATAAACCAGACTTATCCATAACACATCGGTGCAGATCTGTGTGTAACTATGCACCTCTGTTCCAAAGCAGGCAAGCTTCCCAAGTGGCTGCCATGGGCAGTGTCCCCCCCCCCCCAAGTGATTGGTCCTACCTGGTCTGTGCAGGTGATGCTGCTGGAAAGTATGGTGAAAGGACCCCTGGCAGAGCAGGACGGCACAGGCACTTATCCACAAATACAGGACCCAGGACATTGCAGAAACCATGGCCATTCTCTACGGGGAAACAGGAGGGGGGGCAACAATTAGCATCCACAAACTCAGAGGCAGCCTCCGTTCAGAGGCTGAACTACATCTGAAACCACATTGGAACCAGTCCGTAGTGAGTCTCCCTCCTCCCCCAGCCCTTTCTTTCCTACCCCTTACCCTGAGCTGCAGTTTCCCGAAGACTATAAAAGATCCCATCCGAAAGGAGGTAGGGAAGACGTCTGGTTCTAAAGATTAACTTTTAATAATTCAGGGGCTCAAATGAAACTCTGGTTATAAAAGAAGCTTGGGGTTAATAGAAGCCAAGGGGCCGCTGAAGCAGGTCTGAGCCTCCGTGAGCTCGTCAGAATATATTAGTCTTCAAAGTGCCAAAAAAAAGGCTCCCTGACAGAAAAATCCAAGTTCCATTTTTGTCCTTTTAATTACCACTTTCATGGAGCGCGCATAGAGCTAAACATTGTAGCATCTGAAGCACAGTTATGTTTCATTCTGATTGGAGCGAATCAGAGAGATAACAGCTTCCTGAGGACTCGCAGGCAAAATCTTTTAAAAGGATGCCCTTCTATTTGCTGGCCTGCAGAATGGAATAACCCTGGCATCAATACCGGGCATGGGGGGAGGAAGGGTCTCCCAGGCCGTTCTTCTTTGACAGCATTCTGCTGTCCTGTAGCACAAGGAGACGGGGAGCATCTTTTGTCTCGAACGGTTTCATGGCAACCTTATGGGATATGTGGAACAGAAAGAGAGGTCGATAGGTGGGTCAGAGCAGAACTTCCCAAAGTGGGGCTGCCAAACTGCAAACTTGCCCTTAAGTGCCGAGAGCCCTTTGAAGCCGGCTCTTCCCTTTCCCCAGGACCCAGAGAGTCTACCACCGTCTCCTCCAGCAGGGACTGCATTTGTTTTGAACGTCAGAGGCCATTAATTTTTAATCACAAGGCTGTCTGCTAAGCAAAGTAATTGTTTCTCAGAATTCTGTTCCTGCAGTTCCCCCAGATTAAAAAAATAAAAATAAATCCGCTTCCTTTGCATCGTTCCAGGCTTGTCTAAGGAAGACTTGTCAGATCGAATTTCACAGGTAATAGTGGGCGGTGTGTGAGAGAGATCTTTTGTGAAGGCAGAGGCTGTCCAAAATGAAAAGGGCTCCTGGGGTACAAAAAGCAAGAGCCAGTGTTCTCTCACGCGCTCTCTCTGCCAGGTCTGATTTCCATCCCTGCTCAAATACCCCTCCAGAGCTGCATGTTCCCCTTCCCTTCGATTTATTGCAGCTCAGATTTGTTTAATGTATCCTCCCCCCTCCCCATTTGACTTCATAAGCTGAACCGTCTCTCCCCAAAGCCCTGCAAGGATGGCCAGATTTCCAAGGGCTGGCCGACTGTACTCCCCCCCCCCGTCCCGTCCCCCTCCCCCTCTTTTTGAACAGCCCATTTCACGCTGCCCAATTAATCAAACTTCAGGCACACTTCTCCGCCAGCCAATGACAAGATGGCATTGGCTCTCTCCTAATCCAATCAGCGGGACCCCAACCGGGCTTCTCTCGGAAGAAGGAAGACCAGCTCCACTGGATCTCTTTTCTTCCCGGGTTTTAAACACACACACAATTTCCTCTCTCATTTGGAGACTGTGTGGGGTGGGGCTTCGACTTCCTCGCCAAGGCGTGCAAATGGCGAAATCACCCCGGTTAGACCGATAGCTGCCGGCCAGCGTCTATAGAGAAGAGGAAGAGTCCAGTAGCACCTTGAAGACTGAACAAAATCGGGATCTGCAGTAGTCAGCCGTGACTGCCGAAGGCTCATCCCCTTGCCACCAATTTTGTTAGTCTTCAAAGGTGCTACTGGAGCTCTTGCTCTTGTCTGCCGCTACAGACAAACAGGGCTACCGGATCTTGATCTAGTGCGAAAGCACAGACGACAGCTCTGGGGGTTGCAGCGACAGAATCCGAGGGCGGATCTTTGTCTGCGGGGGGGCGGAAGGTGCATCGAGCAGAACTTTTTGCAACTCGACCGGAGAGACGTCACGAGCTGCCGAGCAGCAAGCCGTAATTTGCAGCCGCGGGGGAGGCGCCTTGCGAGCCCTGCTCGGGTGTCCCCGAAGTACTTAGCGCGTATAAATAGTTTCCCTCCCTGCGGTTGACTTTTGCAACGGTATACCCCTCGCTCGCCCGCCCGCCCTCCTTCCCGCCCTCCTTTTTGTTTCCCCAAGCCTCAGCCACACACACACAAAGGCAACATCAACGAAGCACTCCCTTCCTCGAGTTAAGGCACCTCGCCGCCAGGTGCATCCCATCTCCCTCTCTCGCGCCTTTCTATTTCTGGCATTCGCGCCCTAGAAAGGTTAAAAGGGAAGAGAAGGCTTGGTATTTGGAGTGTCCCGGTTTCACCTGAACTTTTCAAAAAGCCACAAGCCAGCCAGCCGCAGAAACTTCCCAGCGCCTCCCCCCCCCCCCGGTCTCCCCACGATCCATCTTCAAGCAGTTTCATTTGCATGTATTTGGGGGCTCACCGCCGCCCTCCTCGCACCCCCCCCCCGGTCTCCCCACGATCCATCTTCAAGCAGTTTCATTTGCATGTATTTGGGGGCTCACCGCCGCCCTCCTCGCTGGCTTGTCCCCCCGGGGTTTGTGAACGGGGGTCTTTCTGGACCCTTCGTGCCCCACCCGGTCAACTCCTCCACGCCTTTCCTGTCGGGAGGGGGGGGAAACCCCGATGATGATCTCTGGATCCCAAAGAAGAAGCCGGGTCTCCTCCGAGGCTGCCTTAGCGCATCTCCGAGCTCCTTACCTGAGTAATCCAACCCCAAGCAGAGGGCTCTGGTCGCGTTCATTGGAAAGCTTTTAACACTTTTGCAAATCCATCTGCACTGGGGGTGGGGGGGGGGGGGAGAGCAAGCAGCCTTCTCCGGTAATCTTCTCGAGCTGGATCGCTTCGCTTTAAGGTAGGGGAACCCCCACAGAGACACAGAGAGAAAGAGAGAGATTCCCGTCTTCTTCCCCTTCGGTCGCTAGCAATCCTATTCCCAGACTCAGGCAGACAGATCCACGCCGGGGCCGTCAGAAAAGTCGCCCCGCGTCGAGGGCTGCCGAGCCGGTCATGGTCCCCTTCCCATCGTCTCGGCGGCGATGGCAGCCCGGGAGGCGGCTTAAGTGGAGGAGGATCGCGGGCTGGCGAAAGCGCGCCGCTCGGAGTCCAACGCAGACGCGCGGAGGGAGGAAAGGAAAGCGCCGCCCGGCTCGCCCAGCGCCGTTAAGTACCACTCGTCTCTTGCCTTGCGGCGCCGAGGATCACATGTCTTAAAGCGACATCCCCCCCCCACACCCACCCAGCGATCGGCACGGGCTGAGCGGCCTCCTCCTCCTCACACCTGCCCAGGTTGACTCCCCACCCCCGCCGCCGACGAGGGCTGCTCGGCGAGGCGAGCCCACCTGGGTGCCCCGCAGCTCTGGCAAGAGAGAAGGGCGGGGGACGCGCTTGGCAGGCAGCGGGGAGCCGAGAATGGGAAGAGAACTTTTTTTCCCAGCGAGGAGAGAGAGGCGACGGCGTTAGTCAGCGGGGAAAAGCAGCCTCCCCGGGAGGGTCCCGAGCTTTGGGGGAGTCTGGAGCCAGGCCTATCCGGAATCTGGCCACATGCCCCATCCGTGCTGCTGGAATTGGAATCCCGCCCCTGAGAGAACGTGCTAGGCGGGAATGCCTGCGACGGGGTGGACGCCCACAGTCACGTGTGAATGCTGGCCCAGCCAAACCTGGGCTGATGAAGGTCTGGAAATGAGGATGGTCTCCGGTAGCCAACCCTGATCCTCAGTAGAGGAGCAAGATTTGTGTCATGTTTAAGAAGAGATGGGGTTCATACCCCGCCCTTCATTCGGAGTCTCAGAGGGTTTACAATCTCCTTTTCCATCCCCTCCCCACCACAGACACCCTGCAAGGTAGGTGGGGCTGAGAGAGCTCTCTCTAGAACTGCCCTTGAGAGAACAGCTCTGAAAGAGCTTATGACTGACCCAAGGTCATGCCAACAGCTGCATGCAGAGGAATCAAACCCGCTTCTCCCAAATTAGAGTCCACGCTCCTAACCACTACACCAAACTGGCTTACACCAAACTTACGCTTTGTTTCAGTTCCATCTTAAGCATTTCTGGTTCGTTCTACAATCCCGCAGGCCCATAGCCAGAAAATTTTCGGGGGGGGGGGGATGATGTCACTTCCAACATCACAAAAAATAAGATAAAATCTCTTTAAAGGACAAGCCCAGACATGGGCAGGCCAGGCTAATTCCCCTCCCCCGTCTAGAAACCTACCGTGGAAGCCAAGCCAATCAGAAATCTCTCCTTTCCTCAGCAGAGGTGGTGAGAGAGCCCGCAGTGCTAGTGCATCAGGGAATCTGCCTCTTGCTGCTGCACTCCCCTTAGAGTCAGTGGGCACCAATCAAAGCAAGGGGAGGGATGGGGGGGCCCTTATTTTGATGGGGGCGTTGCCCTCAAATGCTCCCTGTGGATTTGGGCCTGACAACCCAGATCCTATTGCATTGTCTTGAATGTTCCATCCCGTTGATTGTATTGACTCACTTTGTGTAATCCGCCTTGAGCCCCAGTGAGAAAGGTGGACGATAAATAAGGCAAATAAACAAGATTTCCCTGGTAAAGCTGCCTTCATCAGCTACAAGTAGGAATGTATCTGATGAAAGGAACTTTGACTACGGAAAGCTTATACCCCCAAAAAATCACGTTGGGGTCTAAGGTACCATTGGACTCGAATCTAGCTTGTTCTACTACAGATCGACATGGCTGCCCTCTGAAAGCAGGGATGGAGATCCATACCTGCTTATTTCTGGGAGCTTATACCCGGGAAATCTTGCTACTCTTTTAAGAGGCTGATGGACTCAAATCTCGGAAACTTGAGAGAGACTCCACATTTTCAACCGAAGTCTGAACACTCAGGGCTTACAGTCACCTTTGTGTGTCCAAACAGTGGAGAGATCATATAAATATTGCCAGCAATCCCAGATGAATGTCCCCT